CCACAGGGTTTGAGAGCCACAATCCCAGGAGATAGACCAGGAAAGCTTCAGAGGTCACTAAGACCAAATTTATTTACAAAGAACTCTTTGTCTCTCTTCTTTGCCTAGGTGCAAGTGTAATCTCCATGCCACTGTGTGTGTGTATGACAACAGCAAATTGACTTGTGAATGTGAGCACAACACTACAGGTCCAGACTGTGGGAAATGCAAGAAGAATTATCAGGGCCGACCTTGGAGTCCAGGCTCGTATCTCCCTATCCCCAAAGGCACTGCAAATACCTGTGAGTAGTCTTGCTCGGTAACACCATGTTCTGTGCACAATATTCTGGTAGTTCCTCTCAATTTTACTTGAAATTGTGACTTTACTCCTCTTATCAGTTGTCTTACTTCTCTTCAAAATTCAGCTAATGTTTTAGTCCCCATTGTACCACTTGTAAGCATGTTTTAGCACTCTCGTCATCCGTTAAACTCAGTCTCCTAGCATTACCATTAAATGTTCTGGGAAATGATTATTGAAATCGCAGAAGCAGTTTTTTCTAGCCGGATGAAACAGAAGGTGATCTTATTCCTCTCCCAAATTAATTTCCTATTAAAATAACAAAGCCCTTGAAAAATTTCCACTCTAATTTAATTTTAGCCATAAACAACTTCCAGAAATTCTTGGAATGCTTACAATCCCATTTCCCATACTGGCTAACCCAAGAGATGTTTTGTTGCGAAGATGCTTTTCTCTCCAATTTTAGGGGGGGCCCTAACTATTCCCAGTAAGATAATTGGGTTTTTCCAAACTCCAGCAGTTGATCCAGGCCTGCCATGGATCCTGTGAGTATAGACCCCCTTTAGAAAAAGAACACGACTGTAGGCCTGTGGGTACGACATTAAGGAGAGATGTTTGTGTGCATGTGAAAGAACACAGGCATTAACCGTATTTACAGGAACTATGTGAGATGCCCCATTACCACTCATATGTGTGCCCCACTGAAATCCTTGCATAGCCATAGAAAACAGGCTTTGACATGCTCAAGGAGAAAAAGGATTATTTTCAAAACAATTTGCCCAATTCCATGGATGGACCAATCAGCCACCTGCAAACACCCAAGGTTTTCCCTCTGTACAAAGTGAAGAAAGGGCAAGGTTAGAATACACCTTTCAGTGAGAAGTAACAGAAGCAGCAGGGCAGGGAGCGCAGAACAGAAGCTTCAAAAGCCGCTGGCTCCGTGCAAGGCTAAGAATGTTATCAGCTACTTCAAAGCAGCAGCTGCGAGAAACCAAACCTAAACACTAGTATCATAGGAACCAGGACCTTATCAAGTTAAATGTAAGCGTAATGGACCAGGTAACAAGCCATAAAGTGCAGGGGCATGAAATTATGACAAAATTTCTATAAAGCAGAAAAAAATCCTTCAAAAGCTTTTAAAAAATCTCTCTTTGTAAGAGTATTCATTTTATTTCTGTATTAAAGAAAAAAAAACTGACTTCTTGCTCCTAAAATTAATACATTAAAGCTCTGTTGAGCAGAGATGTTGATTTTTCAAGGCAGTTTTATTAATGGAGATTCTGTGGGCTTTCCTCAACTGTTGAGGGCCAGAGACTCATGAATTCAGAAGGGATGGTACAAGGTTATTTGTTGCAATACTCTGTGACTGGCTACCTAAGAACCCCTATCACCACAGGTGTCAGATTTAGTTTAAAGCTTTCCCAAAATGAAAGTAACTCAGATTCCCTTTCACTGTCTGCTGCTTCTTTAGTGGGACAAGGTGGAAGAGTGAATTTCACAAACACTTGCTGGCATTCTGGCTCATTCTCAGAGCAGCCGACTTGCCAAAGCCACCAGAAAGGAGCTGGAGCAGGCTGTTACTGAAGGCACCAGCTTCTATTCTAATACAACCCTGGTCTTCTACTTATAACTGTGCTTCAAAGTCTTTATTTCAAGACAGTTTCACTGGGAAGACCTTCTTATTACAGCCAAGCCTTCTCACTGAAATGGATTTCTTGTTACATTCTGCATGGAAATGACTTACACACAACTAACTCTTTGCATATTGAAGATCACCAGGTCACTCCCTGGCCGAAGGAACTCAACCTCTTTTGAGTTTCCTTGTAGGTCCAATTGTCCACTCATCCCTCAGTTTTTACTGGCCTTCTCTAGACTTTTGGACTTTTTTTGTAAAAATAAGGAGGTGGCAGATGGACCCAGTAGCTAAGAGGGTTCAAATCAATATTTCAATCATCAATATGGCAGAAATTTGACCAAAAATTTTAGAAATTATCTCCTGTTTAGTTGTTTGGTGCATAAGTCCCAGGATCAAATCCCAGTTCTTCCATTCACTGGCTGTGTGACCTTGAAAAAGTAAGCTAACCTCTGCAACGCCATTTCCCATCTGCAATGTGAGGATAATACAGTTCTTACCTCATAGCGAATTTGAGGATTGAATAAACTAATGCACGTAATGTGTTTAGCATAACAAAATAAGTGCTCAAAATAATTTTATTTTGAGGATTTTCTCATAAGGCAGTCTTGTCCATTGCTAGACAGTTTTAATTGTTACTAAAGTTATTTCTTAACATCAGTGTTGAGTGTCTCCTAATATCCAACCATTTCTTTCTTTTTAAGTAGTAAAAGAAACTGCATTGACCCCGGTTTCATTTCTTCTTCCGATTAACCATCATCAACTCCATTTTTCATAAGATGATGTTTTCATGTCTCTTACCTGGTTGCCTGCCTTGGCAGTCATCTAATTCATTATTGTGGTATTGAAAGCCAAGCACAAGACTTCCAGCACTTTTATGATTCTCATTTTGTTTTGGCTTTTTCTTGCACATACATATATGTACACACACACACACACACACACACACACACACTCATGTGACTAGTTGGTGCATAATGAGCCAGTTATCTAAGACTAATATTTAGCATATGCCATACCCAATACAAAAATACAAAACCTAAAAAATAAGTTACACCTCTGGTCCTTCAACATAAACTCCGTGGCCTAGAAATGCCACTCATCTTGGATAATCTCTAGATTTAGTAGAATTTCAAGCAGCCAGGATAATTTTGGAATAGCATGGTCTGTTTCTGCCCATCACACAAGTTTTATCAAGAGAAATAGGAAACCTTCATTAAAGCAGGGAATTATAAGATTCCCCTCTGAAGACACTAAGCCCACCTCTTAGGGATACCCTAGACTGGGACTTTGCTGGAAGTCAATAAGCTTTGGAGGTCCTGCATTCCAGAGCAACTCAAGGAATGAAGCATGTAGAATCAAGAGAGAAGAGTACAGAACTGCAGCACTCTAAAATACAGCCACCCCAGTCTGTGCGACACATTCTGTTATGCTATGCCTTTCATTACAGTGAACCTGGCAGAGGCAGAAGTTACAATCATTGTGTTGATATTGTTATTCATCATGCCTTAAGTCAAGACCCAGTGTGTTTTCTTAGTCTTTTAAAGCCATATACATGTATATCAAAATATTTTTCTTATTTTTCTACAAAGTTTATGTGTTGTAAAAAAGATATCTTTCTTCTTCTACCTATTGATCTTCATTTGAATTTTGATAGAATTCTATTTTGAATGTCCTTTGAATTTCATTTCTCTCTTCCAAGGAATAGCAATTCTGTTCAACTTTGTGCTTAATCATGATTCTCTTGATTCCCATTGTCCAGCTTATGAATAAAATTACTATGTAACACTCCTTAAACTCTGGTCCTTGTGGAATAACACATGATGCTAAAACTTAATAATGACTCTGTAGGAACCATAATTCCATCAAAGATGGTGTAATATCTGCACCACTGCTTCTCAAACTTTTCTACTCCCCTTAAAAGAATTTCATGGCCAAATAAGTTTGGAAAATGCTGTATACTATACCAACTCTTAGATATTCCCATTACCTTATTAAAAACATTTGAGAAGTCCTACAGTAACCTATTTTGCTCAATGTTTTCCAAATTTATTTTTTCATGCACCACTTAATAACTTTCTGTAAAACACTCTTTTGGGGACATGCTGGTCTAAACAATTTCTTGCAGTTTAGTCATAGAAATGTCATGGAGAGAGACAGGAAGCCCAGCTAGTTCAGCTGTATTCAGTCTTTTACTTTCTTCTTACCTAGCCAGTCTTCAAAGAAAGAAAATTAAATTGGTCTGATATTGATATTGTCTGCTCAGAAATCCAACTTCAATTGTTACACAATATCTAGGGCTCCTGTGAGTGATGGGAAGTAATTTGATGATTGTTCTATTATTTTCTCTGATATTAAATTTGCATTGACCAATTTATGTTTTTGCAGGTGTACGGATGTGTGTGTCATTATTCAAACAATTTCTTAAGTGCCTTGCATACATTACTCCATTCTAAACTCACAACAATCTTATAAGGTAGAGACTACTACTTTTATTTTTCAGATGTGAAATCTTAGGATTACAGAGGAAAAGTATCTTGTTGAAGGTTTGCACAGCTAGTTAGGGTGAGAGGGAGGATTTGAATCCAGTTGTGTCTTGACACCAAGGACCAGACATTGCACTATATTGCTTCTCGGGTTAAATTTGAGTGATTTTCTCTGTCCCCAGTTAGTGTTTAGGCTTCATTTTGACACCTGTTTCAACAAGGCAGTCTTTTCTAAACCTTCTCTCTTCTTAGATCTCTGCTTGTTATTTCTCTACCTTCAAAGATTCCCCTTCTGTTCTTCCTTTAAAGTTTCATGTTCCCCATCCCTGCCTATCTCCAGTCTACAGTTTTTCCTTGGCGTTCCAAGCTATTCCTGTGGTTTTAGTTCTTAGTATTACTGATTTAATAGCAATCAAACAATTCTAGCTTCGGACATTCTAGTGGATCCAGGCCAATTTTTCTAGCTGTCTGAAAAGATCTCAGAGTCAACATGCTAGGCACTAAACTTATTCCTCTCCCCAAAGCACCTTTCTTTTCACTCTCTGTTAAAACTCTGCTCATTTTTCAAGGCTGCTTTTCAATGCCAACTCTTCAATGAAGCCTCCCTAGCCTCTCCCATGCAAAGTCAATTGCTCCTCCCTCTGGATTCTTGATAAATGTATGTAGACTTACAACTCATTGACTATCTGTAACCAAAATTATTATAATAATGGCAATGATGATCATTACTACTTATTAAGCTTACCATAGGCTTTTACACTCGTGAAGTGTTTTTGCGCCTTATTGCCTTAAAACCTCACAACTTCCCCATGGGATGTGTACTATTATTTTCCCCACTTTACAGATGAGGAAACATGGGCACAGAAAGTTAAGTAAGTTGGCCCA